AATCGCATGTTAACATGGGCACTGAGGTCAAGATCTGGTCAGAATTTACCTTAGTGTGCCTGCACTACTAAAGGAACCTTCCATCCCAGACAAATGGAGACACCTGTCTCCATAATTCCTAGGTTCACATCAGTATCAGTGGAGCCTGCCAAGAGTTAGTCTCATTGATCCTTTTCTTTTGACATATTTTCCCATTAGTGTGTTTGCTTCCGTTTATTTTCTACAAATTAACTACCACTTTTTGCTTTCTCATTCACTTTGAAAGTAGATCCTACAGTAATTTAAAGAACCTGGCCATGCATTTCACTCTCATCACTAGCTACTGGGTAACACTTTCAGTGGAGAACATACTAAGAAACTTAGATCTGGGCTTTAGTTATACTTCTTGTTGCTGGGTATCATTGTTTCTTGGCCCTTTCAGTTTACCTTTGACATGTCCCCTCTATCATTCATTTGTTTGACTGGATAGTATTTCACACTGGGAATATAGCTTTTAAAATTTTATTTATGTATTTATTATTATTATTATTATCATCATCATCATCATTTGGTACCAGGGATTGAACCCATGGGTGCTTAACGATTGAGCCAGATCCCCAGACCACTTTATTTTTTATTTTGAGACAGGGTCTTGATAAATCACTTAGGGCCTCACTAAATTGCTGAAGCTGGCTTTGAACTTGTGATCCTCCTGCTTCACCACTGGGATTATAGGCATGTGCCACCGTATGACACCGTGAGGCACTGGGTTCCATTCTCAGCACCATGTATAAATAAATAAAATAAAATCTATCAACAACTAAAAAATATTTTTTAAAAAAGTCTCCTATGTAAGAATATTTAGGTTATTTCCAAAATTTTGCTATTATAAATGATACCACAAATGATACCTTACACATATGTTGCTTCAGTTCTGTGGTTATGTATCTTCAAGGAAAATTCCCACACATTAAAAGGTAAATGCAAAGATAGCTCTGTTAGATTTTTCCAAATTCCCTTCCATAGGCAGGATGGGAGAAATATGTTTAAAAGATCTATTGTACACTAGTTGCACCATAGTTTAAACAGTATAATTTAAAAATAACTAACAGTATGCCAGCTGTGACTGTAATCCCTGCAGCTAAGGAGGCTGAGACAGGAGGATTACAAGTTAGCAAAGCCTTAAGCAATTTAGTGAGATCCTGTCTCAAAATTAAAAGAAAATAGAATGAGGGCTGAGGATGTGGCTCTGTGATAAAGTTCCTTTAGGCTTAATCCTCAGTACCAAAAAGTAAAAAATAAATAAGTGCAAATTTTAAGTGGTCTCACTGCAAAAAAATGACAAGTATGCAAGATAATGTATGTTAATTACTCAATTTATTTATTCCACATGTATGCATATTTCAAAGCATCATATTGTACATCACAAATATTTGTAATTTGCCAGTTACAAATACAATTTTAAATAATATATTAACTATATAGATACATAAAGAAAAATGAAAACTGCAAGAAAATGCAGCAAAATGCTAATAGAGTTGTATTTTCCAAACTTTCTATAATTATATATACAAAATTACATATTATATAGTATATAATATATATAATTATATAATATACAATTATAATTTTAAATATATAATATATATCTCTATATCTATATCTACATATATATGTATATATTTATATAAAACTTAGGTTTGCTAAGTTGCTGAGGCTGGCTTTAAACTTGCATTCCTCCTGCCTCAGCTTCCTGAGTCGCTGGAATCACAGGCATGCACCATCGCACCTCGAAATATATTCTAATGTAAAATAGATTTTGTTAAATATCTATTTTCTGTTTCTAGCTGTTCTTGGACTCTTGAGTACATAAACAGAGCATTTGATTATGTAAAATATGCCATGATTTAAAAGAGAATCAAAACTTTGCACAGAGATACAGCATAGAATTCTCATCAAACAACAGAGATTATATGCTTGATTCTATACAAAAGACCACAGTAAATGCTTTTCACAATCTTAGGTGGCTGCATAGGTTTGAGTCTCATATCATTTCCCTATAAACGAGGATAGTAATTGTTTCACCCTATAGAATTAAATGAGAATTAAATGATATTTTTTAAAATATCTTTTTAGTTGTAGTTGGACACAATATCTTTATTTATTTTTATGTGGTGCTGAGGATGAACCAAGTGCTTCACACGTGTGAGGCAGGCACTCTACCACTGAGCCACAACCCCAGCCCCTCAATACCTTCATTTTATTTATTTTTATGTATTGATGAGGATCGAACCCAGGGCCTCATATGTGCTAGATGAGCGCTCTACCACTGAGCCACAACCCCAGCCCCTAAATAATATATTTATAAATGCTTAGAAAAAACCTGGAAAACAGAGAATTCTCAATGTAAGTTAGTTTTTTTAGGGCTTTGGTTTTAGTTTTTCTTATATATTATAACTTGGTTACAGTGCCTCATGTTTCTATACTTTGAGATATTTCTGGTCTTTGAAAGGATTTCTTATTGTTTTAATTTAATACAACATTTGAAATGACATTTCTAGGGCCATATCTTTTCCACTCATGTTTTATGTAGTCTCTGAGGATTAAACAGCTCTTTTAAAAATAATGTGTTCCATGGAGCTGTGGTTGTGGCTCGGCGGTAGCACACTTGCCTGGCATGTGTGAGGCACTGGGTTCCATTCTCAGCACCATGTATAAATAAATAAAATAAAAATCTATCAACAACTAAAAAATATTTTTTAAATATTTTTATATATTTTTAAATAATATATTCTATCCCTGACTATAAAGCAACACATGCTCACTCTACAAAATTTAGAAAATTCTATTCATCTATAATGCAACCATCCATTTTGTATATTTTATATATTTTCTATGTAAGTTTACATATATGTGTATATACATATAGGGGATTTATTTTTACAAATTGAAATCAGTGTGGTTTTAAATACAAGATTAAGTTTTAGTATAAATATAAAATGTATCTTTTGCTTAAAAAAAAAAGAAGAGAAATGAAACAATGTAGATAATAGGGGTTGTACCATGGTGAACAGAAGATGATGTCTTGTCATCACAATTTCTCATGTTCCTTTCTAGTAGGCAACTAAGGTACATAAATGGGACCCAAATGGAAAAAAAAAATGCCTTAAAGTGAAAGAAAATTCAACTTGACTTAGAAACATAATGCCAGTTGGTCTGGGTATAGTGGCCCACACCTGTAATCCCAGTTACTCAAAAAGCTGAGGCAGGAAGGATTCCAAGATTGAGGCCAGTGTGGCCTCAAACTAAAAATGCTGTAAACTGGGTGTGGTGGCCATGCCTTTAATCATAGCAGTTCAGGAGGCAGAGCAGAAGGCCCGCTTCAACAATTTAATGGGGTCCTAAGCAGCTTACAGATGTCTGAAAATAAAAACTAAAAAGGGCTGGAAGTGTGACTCAGTGATTAAGCATACCTGGGTTCAATCCCAGGGACAAAAAGAAAAGAAAAGAAAAAGTGGTCTTTTGTGTAAAAAAGAAAGAAAAATAAACATGTAATTATATATATTTACTTATTTTTGCAAAGAGAAAATAAAGGAAGGATAATCAAAAAATAATTTAAATGGTTGATGTTAGAGATAGGTGGAATGGCTAGGGAAGCAAGGAAGACTTCTCTAAATATTCCTTTTTATATAATTTTGACTTTTGAGGCATGTAAATATTCTATAAACTCAAAATTTAATATTAATATTAATGTATAAAAAGTGGCAAACTTTAAAATTTAGACAAAAAAATCAACTTAAAATCAACAGAATATTTTATACACATAAAAGTACACTATGAATAACAATCAAAAGAACTAAAAAAAATCTTGAACTCTTCTAAGTGGGTTTATTAGAGATGATGGTGTTGGCATAGTGATTCTGAAAATATTTTGCTAATGTTTATTTATGAGTAAATATATTGATGCTTTTTGGAACCAGAGTTCTTTGTAGAAGAAAAGGGCTACAAATAAGGAATGGGAAAGAGAAGGAAAAATCCTATGGTGTAGATTGAATTTGGAAGTGTCAGTATTATTCTTTTAAAAGAAAGTGTGTGTGTGTGTGTGTGTGTGTGTGTGTGATGCTATATATTCTTTTTTCTCTCTAACCCAGGGGAACTTTACCATTGAGCTATATCCCAGTCCTATTAATTATTAATTTTTTTGAGACAGAATTTGCTAAGTTTCTGAGGCTGGCCTGAAATTTGAGATCCTCTTGTCAGCCTCAGAAATTGCTGAGATTACAGGCATATGTCACCATTCCCAATTTACATGGTCTTAAATATATATTTATTTTCCTTTCTTTTTCTACCCCTCCTCCCCATTTTCTATAAGCCATACTGAATGGAGTTAGCATTCATTATTTGATTTGTTTTTTGTTTTCTTTCTGGGGGTTGTTACTGGGGATTGAACCCAGAGGCGCTTTATCACTTCCGCAGTCTTTTTTTTTTTTTTTTTTGAACAGGGTTTTGCTAAATTACTGAAGCTGGCCTCACATTTACAATCCTGCTCAGACTATGAAGTCACTGAGATTATAGGCGTGCACCACCAACACTACACTGGCTTTATTATTTGATTTCCAAATACTATCCCCAGTTTAAAAAAAAAAAAAAACATCAAAGCTCCTTGGAGAAATAGTTAATTTCAGGCCTCAGATATCCAGGTAGGGAAATTAGTACAAGGTAAACCTAGGAAACAACCTCAGAATTCCCCCCAAACAAGGAAGTACTCAAAGACACATAGAAACTCAGCAATAGTACATAGTAACTATCTTGCAGGGACTTCCTTGAGAAAATGTGAGACAGTTGAGCATTAATAAGAATAATACCAGAAATGGATTATAACCGTGTTGGGTCACAACACAAAAGCTTGTACACCTCTTCCCCACTGAAGATCCTGATTCATCAGTCTGGGTGAGGATTGAGGATGTTCTTTCTAAGCAGCTTGCAGGCAGTGCTGCTGATGCTGATCCATGGACCTGCGTTTGAGTAGAGATTAAGGAGATGGGATATAAAAGAGAAAGTTTATTTTTATAGAAGGATGCCACCCAGAAAATGCACAAGAAATAATAGAAAAATTACTATTTTATAGTTTCCAGTTTTCCAAACAGACACTGTGACTTCCTGGTGAATGCAGTAGAAAATAAAATGTTTGTAGAATATTCTTTCTCAAAATATTTAGCCACAATCACATCATGAAGAAACAGAGGGAGGCTGAAGCAGAAGAATTACAAATTCAAGACCAGCCTCAGCAATTTAGCAAGACCCTAAAAAAAACAAAGGCCAAATGTTTTCTCTGATATGTGGATGCTGATCCTTAATGGAGGTGGGGGAGAATGGGAGGAATGGAGGAACTTTAGATAGGGCAAAGGGGAAGGAGGGGAAGGAAGTGGGCAGGGAAGCAGGGAAGATGGTGGAATGAGATGGACATCATTACTGTAAGTACATGTATGAAGACACAAATGGTGTGACTCTATTTTGTGTATAACCAGAGACATGAAAAATTGTGCTGTATATGTGTATTATTAAATGAAATGCATTCTGCTGTCATATATAACAAATTAGAATAAATAAATTTTTAAAAAATGAAAAATAAAAAGGGCTTAGGATGTAACTCAAAGATAGAATGCTTCTGGGTTCAATCTTCAGTACCACAAAGAAAAAAAAAGTATTAATGAGCTTGGCATAGTGGTATATGCCTGTAGTCCCAGATACTCAATAGGCTGAGAATGAGAATGGCTTAAACCCAAGAGTTGGAGGGTAGTCTGCACAATAAAGCCAGATTCCATCAAAAAAAAAGAAAAATAAAAAAAAGAAAGAAAAAAGAAAAGAAACAGGACTGGGCATATAGCTCAGTGAGAGAGTGCTTGCCTAGCATGCACCAGGGGTTCAATCCCCAACACTGCAAAAAGAAAATTTAGTGTAATAATTATAAGGTTGGTGTGGTAGTGTATACCTGTAATCCCAGTGACTCAGGAGACTGAGAAAGGAGGATTGCAAGTTCAAAGCCAGCCTGCCTTAAACTTGGCCAGACTCTGTCTCAAAATAGAGTTAAAGGTGAAGGAGTGGCTGGTGAGATAGTTCGGCCTTAGAATATTTGGCTTAGCACAAGCAAGACCCTAAATTCAATCTCCTGGGCAAAACATACAAACAAATCTAGGTAGAAGAAAACCAAGAAAAGGTAAGGAAAATGTTCAAAATTAAAAGTGACATAAGCAAATACGATAGATTCTGGATCAAACAAATTCTATAAATTCTATAAATGATAATATGAAGGAAATTTGATTATGAACTACTAAATAATATTTAATAATGCTGAAAAATTGATGTTTATAATGGTACTATGGTTATATAAAAGAAGGTTGATTTAAGGATATACATGATGAAGTATTTAGGCATGAAGAATTATAAAGAATTAGAATGATTGCAACTCTGTGTGTGTGTGTGTGTGTGTGTGTGTGTGTAGAGATTGAGAGTGAGACCAAGAAACAGAGACAGAGAAATAGAAAAAGGAAAAGAGAAAGGGATTGAAGACCAAGAAAAGAGTTGGGAAGCTATAGCAGTAATCTAGATGAAAGTTGGCAGTATGAAAAGCTAGGATAGTAAAAATGGAAATATAAAAAATAATATTTAAAGACTATTTTAAAAGTGGCAGTGGAAAAATTAGCAATTCAATACAGAATTTGATAAATTATGTGATGAGTGGTTAAATATTTGTAGGAAAAGAGAATCTTATTTCAATATTACATCAAAATTAACTCTAGGGGGCTGAGGCTGTAGCTCAGTGGTAGAGAGCTTGTCTAGCATGTGTGAGGCACTGGGTTTGATCCTTAGCACCACATACAAATAAATAAAAGTATTGTGTCCATCTACAACTAAAAATATATATTAAAAAAATTAATTCTAGTTTGCCAGATGCAGTGGTACACACCTATAATCACAGTGGCTCCAGAGGCTCAGGATCATAAGTTCAAAAACCAGCCTCAGCAACTTAGTGAGGCCCTGTTTCAAATTTTTTAAAAAAGGTTGGGGCGGGGGGGTGCTCAGTGGTAGAGCACTTGCCTGGCATATGTGAAATACTGGGTTCAATCCTCAACACCACATTAAATAAATAAATAAATCTAAAAAAATAAAAATAAAAATGGGATGGGGATGTAGCTCGGTGGTTAAGTGTCCCTGGGTTCAATCCCCAGTACCAAAAAAATACAAAACAAAACTAAGTACATCTGCGTTAACTTTTCTCTTTCAACTTTTCTAAAGATATGAAAATTTTCAAAATAAAAAGTTGAAGAAAAATTAAATCCCTTTTCCCTGTGAGGCAAATGAGGGTGGTAGGATGGATGTGGGGAGACAGGTCAGATGGGGTTTGTGACGAAAAGGAGACTGGGAAAGGAGGGTTTTACAATCCTAATTTATTAGGGCAATTTAACAGCAGTGGCTCTAACAATTTACAGATCTTCCATGGCTTAATAAAAGTTTATTTCTTGTTCAAGTCATAATTCTAATTAGGAAGACTGATTCAGAGAGGTAAAGCAACATGCCTAAAAAACAAAATAAGTGACTAATCAGAATTCCAGTTCTGATTCCAAAGCCCTGATTTGGACTACGGGGTCAAATATTAGAAGGACTGTATCAGCAGCCATCACTAGAGGTGGATCCAGGATGAAGCTGTACAATTTTGCACCAGTTTTCCCTGCCCTTGCACATTTCCCTCATTTTACAAGGGCATAGACTAAGGGCATGTTGCTCAAAATTTACAACTATGCTTTCTCCATCTCAATGGCTTGTGGGTGTTTCTTTTAAAATACAATATTACTCTCTTTATCCTAAGTCCCTATCTCAGTAGGACTGGAGGCAAGAGAAGGCAAGAGAAACAGGAGGTAGGCACCACATATACTAAGAAATGAATGGGGGTGTGGTGAAGCAGGGGAATGATACAATCAGTTTTTCATTTTTAAAAGATCATCTCAGCAGACTTGTGTGGAAAATGCAGTTATGTAGATGGGAATTGTTGATGGCCTTTTGACAGTGGTGAGGACTGAGCAGTGGTCAGATGGAAAATGTACTTTAAAGGGAGAACTGACAGCATTTGTTGGTATATATAAGATACCAAGGAAAAAATGAAGATACTTTGTAAATTTTGGGTGCAAGAAGCATACTGGTCCATAGTCACATTTGGTTAGAGAAACAAAGAGTTTTGGTTTTTGTGTTTTTGTTTTGTACCAGGAATTGAACCTAGGGTCACTTAATCACTAAGTCACATCTCAGCCCTTTTTATTTTTGATTTTGAGATAGTATCTCACTAAATTGTTGATGGCCTCCCTAAATTGCTGAGGCTGGCTTTGAACTTGTGATCTTCCTGCCTCAGCCTCCAGAGCTACTGGGATTACAAGCAGGAGAGCCACTGAGACCAGCTCCCTCATAAGACTTTTGTGAAGAAAAAAATGTGATAGTATTTGTAAAAACTACTCATATGATTGTCATCTCATAACCATCTTTTATATGTGTGTAACACTTTCAAGGTAAAATATGCTTTCTTATGCTTGAAGTAACTTAGTTGCTAATAGTGAACACTATGGTAAAAATGTGATGGACTGGAATTGGAATTCCTATGACTTTAGCTTCTGTTATGTTAAAATACTCATTAGCACTGCCCAGAAGAAGTTTGTCTGTCTCTCTTTTTTTTTTTTTTTTTGAGAGAGAGAGAGATAAGTTTTTTAATATTTATTTTTTAGTTTTCGGTGGACACAACATCTTTTTTTTTTTTTTTAATTTTTTTTATTGGTTGTTCAAAACATTATAAAGCTCTTGACATATCATATTTACAACATCTTTTTTTTATGTGGTGCTGAGGATGGAACCCAGAGCCTGCGCATGCCAGGCAAGCGCATTACAGCTTGAGCCACATCCCCAGTCCTATCTGTCTCTCTCTTAATCACTTTGCTTCTCTTTGAAGAGAGAGCTCTTGTGAACAAGAACTTGCCAACTTAGAGGTCTGCAGAACAGAACCCAGGGGTATCTGTTTCTTGGGTTGTTTTCCCACATACCCAGTATACTGCAGTGATCAGTAAGCCTCTGAGACTGAGGGTCACTTATGGGAAACTAGCACCATAGTCTCTTCATCTAAAATTACCAGCCTCTTTGGCTTGATGAAACTCACTTTGTACATCATCAGAATACAGTGATGATCAGCTTTTAAAATGGGCAAATTAATTTTAATATATGTCAGTCATTGCTGTTGTTTTATTTATTCATCATTCTTTATTCTTATGTCCTGTAGGAATTTTTTCACATAGAATATTTAGAAAATCAGATAGAAATATTTAGCTAATATTTACCTTTCCTAATATCTGACACTGGGCTGGGGTTGTGGCTCAGCAGTATAGCGCTTGCCTCACACATACGAGGCTCTGGGTTCGAACCTCAGCACCACATAAACATAAATAAATAAAAGGTATTGTGTTCAATAACAACTAAAAAATAAATATTAAAAAAAATCTGACACTTAGCTTTAAATCAAAAATTTGAGATTTACTCTTTAAATCTTTAACCAAGAATCATTTCTGAAGTGGTGTAATTTTGGTTGCTATCAGATCCACAGTGGTATGATACTTTGATAAAAATTTTGCTATGTTACAGATTGGGAACAAGATAAAATTGTAAGGAATTTGGGATTTTTATTAAATAAGTAGATTTTTAGCTACTTTTCCCACAGAAAGATTAACTATGTGAAACGATAATTTGCTGCTATAGTAGCCTTTTTATTATCTATATGTATTCCATAACATCCCATTGTAAACCTCAAATATATGCAAAATTTGTTTTAAAATAAAACAAAAAGATGTTGTGTCCATCGAAAACTAAAATAAATAAATAAATAAAAATTAAAATCTCTCTCTTAAAAAAAATTTAAAGAAATTTAAAAAAATATGCTGATGAAATGCTTGGAAAGAATGTACAAAAATAAAGCAAAATAAATGGTTCACGATCTAGCTCAGTGGTAGAGAACTTGTTGAACATGTGTGAGAATCTTGGTTCAATCTCTAGCACCACAATAAAATATGATAAAATAAAATATATGATAACAACAAATATCAAAATATAAATATTCACAGCTTCTTTCTTCCCATCTGCTAAGGAATATTTTCCTACTATCTTGCTTGTCTTATTATCTTCCCTTAGTTTTAGTCACTGTTACAAGGCTGGGGCCATCTTGGTAACTGAGATGGCACTAAGATACCCCCCCTTCAAACCCAGATTTTTGTGATCAAGTCAGAAAGATTTCAGAGTAACAGGCAATAAGTTTATTAGAAGGGATGGGAAAGGGGATGGGGGAGCACTCTCAAGGGATAGAGGGGGTTCTCTCAGAGAAAAGAGGGATAACATGACTCTCCTTCACTCCAGTTTTATTAGGGATCCCATCGAAGTTTCCTGAGAGTCCTGTTCAGGTTCTACCTCTTGATTTTTGACTGACAGCAGGATGACATCAGATTTTTAAGACCCCACTGCCTTGACAACTCTAGGTCCCTTTGGCCCATGCTGGTTCTAACTGGAATCTGTTCTTACAGATTTTATGGTAAGAGGGAATTATCTTTATCTTCCCAAATTCTGGGATCTTTTCCATGTAAGGATCACAAAATTCCCCCCCCCCTTAAGGGTAACTGGTGTTCTTATCAACATTATTTCAGCCTGCATTCTGCAGATAACAGGTAGTTTGCTGAGGAATGTAACATATCCTGTTGACTTAAACTAGGCAGAGCTGCAGGTAGATTGCTTCTTGGAAAAGAAAGCACATGGGGGTCAGCACAGTGGACCCATTTTATAGAAATATTCCCTTAACCTCATGTTCCCACACTCATATCTGTCTGTCCCCTATCAGCACTATTTGTACATCTGGGTAAAGGGTTTACAGGTATATGTGTGTATGTTTGTGTTTACCCATACACCCATGTGTGTTAAAGGACAGAGGGAACACGCTAGGGAGAACAGGAGGGAAATGGCAAAGAAAGAAAAGAATGATGGAATTAACATCAAAAAAGAAAGAAAGCTACTCATGGAAAAAAATAGATCCCAGGGAAAAAGTAAAACAGCATACAGGTTTCTGGGAGAGTATTGCCAGAGATTTTGAGGAATGGCTGCTATACTGGGAAAGATTTTGAAATGATAGGAAAAAACTTACTTTATAAAATTTCCTCTACTTTAATTCTATATCAGCCAGGCACACTGGCACATTGCTGTAAGCCCAGTGATCCAGGAGGCCGAGGCAGTAGAATGACAAATTCAAAGCCATCATGGGCTATTCAGTGAGACTCCTCAAAACAAAAATGTCTGGGGCTGTAACTCAGTGGTAGAGCCCCTACAAACTGTTCAATTCCAAGTCAAAAAAGAAAAAGAAAAAAAAAAACAAAAAAACAGGCTTGTGGTGCAGGCCTGTAATCCCCGCAGTTTTGGAGGCTGAGGCTGAAGATCACAAGTTCAAAGCCAGCCTCAGCAACTTAGTGAGACCCTGTCTCTAAAATATTAATATTCCTGAAACCACTAGGGATGTGCCTCAGTGGTTAAGCACCCTTGAATTCAAAAGAAAAAAAATATTTTATCTGCCCACCACACACAACACACACCAGAGACTTCCAATATTTTTTCAGACTGTTTTCTTTGAGTTTTACGTGATGACTGGGTCACAAAGGGCTTGGCTTAATTCAGATGACCAAATTACTAGAATACCCAGAGACTTAATTTTATTTTATTTTTTATTTTTGTAGTACTGGGGATTGAACCCAGGGGTGTTTTACCACTGAGCTACACCAAAGTCTTTTTTTTTTCTTTTTTTTTTTTTTTGAAACAAGGTCTCAGATTTGAAATCCTCCTGTCTCAACCTCCCAAAATCTGGTATTACAAGTGTATGCCACTATATCCAGCTACCAGGAAACATTTTCTATTCAGATATTTTCTATAGAAGTAAATTAGCTGAGGATATGGCTCAAGTGGCATGCGCGGGGCGCTGGGTTCGATCCTCAGCACCACAAAGATGTTGTGTCCACCGAAAACTGAAAAAATAAATAAATAAATCACTTCAATTGCTGAAGAACAAGCAAGGTTTTATCTCATTCTGTTACTGTCATTTCTTGGGCTGGGGATGTGGCTCAAGCGGCAGCGCACTCCCGTGGCATGCGTGAACCCGGCCCGGGTTCGATCCTCAGCACCACATACAAAACAAAGATGTTGTGTCCGCTGAGAACTAAAAAATAAATATTAAAAAATTCTCTCTCTCTCAAAAAAAGAGACATAACTCATAAATCTTCACTTTAAAAAAAATAAAATTAACTTTTTACCCACTTGAATCAAAGTGTGAAATATGATATATCAAGAACTATGTAATGTTTTGAACAACCAACAATAAAAAATTTAAAAAAAAAAGTAAATTAGTGGCTTCTAATTTTAAGATTACTAGAATGATTCAATTTAAAAAAACACTGAAGGAAATTGTAAAGGGAGACGTATATTTGAATTTTTAACCATTTGAGGAAACTCAGGGAAAATCCTATTATTAATGTTTAACATTGCCACCCTCCTGAGATCTTCCTGAAATCAGAAAATCTTTTGGCAACAATCTTTCAGCATCTTTCTTACATCTCTGTTATCACAATTTATTCTAAAAACATTCTTATTATAAAAGAAATATATATTGGCCTGGCATCCTCCCCACCCCCCATTGCCAGGGATTGAATCAGGAACTCTTATATGCTAGAAGTGCTCTGCCCCTGAGCTACACCTCAGCCCTGGGTTTATTCTTGGGGATTAGAAGCTCATTGAAAACAGAGATCATACCTTATCTGTAAGACAATATTTTGGCAATTAACAATGAATGACACAGGCCTTAGAGTCACACACACCTAAATTTGAATCTTGGTTCTGCAATTCCTCAGTTAAAATACAAAGTTGTTTTTTGTAGTTTTTGTAGTTTAACTTTATTTAGTCTCCATCCTCACTTTTGTTAAAATTGAGATAATAATGCCATTCTTTTTCAGGGCAGTTATGAACATTAAATGAGAAGATGTATGAAAGCACTTAGCCTATTGCCTAGCACACCCATGTATTCAATCAACAGTAACTAAGGGCTTATCTTCTGTATTATTTAAACTATACCATGTAGCATGGAAGGAAGTATGCCAAGAATTAAGTCATAATGAAGAGGAAAAGAGAAAAACACTAACACACACACAAAATGTAAGGGGCAACACCCTTGACTTACCATACCTTTATTTTCCTCTATGATCTTGGAATTTGGAGTCCAAGAAGCTGCTGTGAAAGCTGGAGGCCTGCTTCCAGCCCAAATGAGACTTATTGAGGTAGGGTAGGAGGAGAGTTTGTTAGGTCCAGGGCTCCCCTGGGAGTTCTGAGCCTGGCACAGAAATTCCAATTCAATCTTTGGTTTTGCCTCCCCTTTCCTTGTCACAGTATTTCTGAGAGTATCCTAGTGATGGAAACTTCCAGTCACTAACCTGCACCTTTCTGGAAGTTAGCGACCTCTTAGACAACATCTTAGACAACATTTCCTACAATAACAACACAGAATTTAACTTCTGTATTCAAACTACTAGCTTTATGTTGCTTCCCCCTATGAAGGTCCCTGAGGTCTGCTTCAGCTTATCAGCACAATAGGCTGTACATGTGTTGCTAGGTAATACTGAATTCCTCTGAAGCAGATCTTAGGGCTGCAGTCTAGAGCTTAGCCCTAAACACAGAACTTGTCCTAAATTCTAGGGTACTACCATAATGCCCAGAACTTTTGGTTGCACACTTCTGTTCCCTACAGAACATAGCCTCTGGGCAATTAGCCTGAGGTTCATTGTTTAAGACACTTAGGAGGAAGTTCCCAGCAATGAGTTTCAAAAATCTGGCAGGAATCCAGAAAAGGAGCTTTATTTAGGGAATAGGATATACAAAATATTAGCTTCCAATTTTTTCCTCTCCGTAATATAAAGTTCATTTTTCATACCACTCAGCTATTGCAGGGTAGAAAGTCAATGCCTGAAAAAAACAGACTTGATTAACAGTCAAGTTATTTAAACTTTGTTCTAGAAGTCATATAAAATTAATAAAGTCATAATTTATCCCGTTCCAAGTATGACTATTCTGAATCATCTAACATGTTAAATTTTTGCAAAATACAAATTCCTCATTTTTTGATCATTACCATACAGTTTCCTAGTTTCTGCCTAAAAATAACTATTTTCTAGAGTTGTTTAACTAAATTTATGTGAAAAAAAAATCTCAGGAAACATTTGCCAACTTAAGTCACTTGCTTTTCTCACTTAAGATGGAAAAAAAATTACCTTTTCAACTTTATCTTTTTTGAGGCTTCAACCTTTTCACTGTCTCATTTTTGCTTGAAGAATGCTAAAGTGTCTCCTCTTGATTTTATGTGACTTTTCACGAATCCAGTTAATTTCCTGAATCCTTCTATCAGCCCATCGCCTGTGAGGGCACAGCAGGGTTGCACATACCAGTTCCGGTCACTGCAGAGCTTCTTCACTTTGAATATTCTGGTAATGTCCTCTGCAGTCAGAGCTCCAGGCACATCTTGTTTGTTGGCTAATAGGACAACAGGCACATTTTTAATATGTTCATTCTTCAAAATGTGCTCAAACTCTTTCCGTGAGACTTCCAGTCGTTGTTGATCTGTACTGTCCACAACATACACCAGCCCATCAGCGTTCTCACAATAATAGCTCCAAACAGTTCTCATTTTTTCCTGTCCTCCAACATCCCAGACTGTGAGCAAAAGGCTGCTTTCCAATTCGATCATCTCCACATTGAAACCTATTGTTGGCATGGTCGTAATATCCTTAGCAAGCTTTAGTTTGTAAAGGAGAGTAGACTTCCCTGCTGAATCAAGTCCCAGAAGAAGAACGTGGGCTTGCTTGATTTTGGAGTTCTTAGAACTCAGAAGACCCATCTGAGGCTTTTTCTTCTTTAACAATCTTTTCTTCTGACCAGAGGCAGTGTGTCCTTTCTAGATCTTGCATGAAATTGTGTAGGAGGAAATAAGAGAGCAAATGCTTTATGATATAGCCCAAGAACAGGAGTTTGTGTACATTTATATTGTGGCTTATCAACTCTTATAGGCAAACAGTATTTTAATTGCAGTCCTAGCCAATCCTGAGTTATCTGTGGTGTGAGTAACTAGCCAATATCATAGTGGCTCAAAGGGGACATTCTTTGTAAATGAGTAGGATAAGGAGTGGCGTGCCTGGCTGATGCTACAGCTTTTGTCCCTTTCAGGTGCTAGAAACTTGGAGGAAATCAAAGGATCAGACATGCACAGTAACATGGTTTAGAAGCAGAATGAAAACAACTTTTTGTTGTATTTTATTTTTAACTAATCTTCAAGTTAACTTTAAACTTTTTGTTTAACATTTTGTAAAAAAAAAAAAAATTTTTTTTGTAGAACTGTAGTTACTTGACTATTTCTCTTATTACAATTGTAAATAAATAACTAGGGTTCTTAAATCATGAAGAGAGTTATCTCCTACTGCCCACCCCCACCCAGTATCTTAAGTACTTTCCCCTTGACCAGATTTCTCAGTAAGAAATTTTAAACCACCCAAGGTTATCTGAACCTTTCTCCCATAATCAGATAGAGCATTGTTTCTTGAGTCTACCAGGCAGAGAATTAACACTACTCACAAAACCAGACTTAGAGGGGAAAGTTTGCACACAAACACTTTTGAATTAAGCAGACATTCTAGTTGAAAATAGAAGATTGAATATATGTATTTATCTCCTTTCCTTCTCAAGACTACACCTAAATGACAGCAAAGAAATAAAAAGAATATGTAAACCTATAGCGAGAGGAGCAAGCAAATCCATCAAAGGGTGAAATATTTCAACAAAACTATGGAAGATGGAAATTAGGTGGAAGGTGAGCCATAACTTATATGGTATGATAATGCTCAGGCTTGTGGTGCTAGGTCACTGGGGATAGACAAGAGGCTCCAGGAATGGCAGAGAGAAGGAGTGAAATAAAGGACTAAAAATAGAGGGAAATAACTAAGAGTCTAAATAAGGAACAGAAAGCACCCACTTGTTCACACACATACCCCTCAGTTGAATGACTACTCAGCAATAAGGTGTTTAGTTCTAGGCAAAGAGGTAAAGTGGTTTTTTTCTAAAGAAATTGGTCTTAAAAAAAATGGGGTTTCCACAGCATAGTACATAACTTAGTATTGGATTAAACTATAGCCATCCTGGCAATTGGCAAACTTGCTCTTTATACGGACTTCCCAGTCATCTACAAAAGGCACAGAAGTTTCTACGCTTAGTTTGTAGCATGTCTTCAATATGAATGAGAGAGAAACCTAAACAAAAATAAGAACACTTTAAGAAAGATTAAACATGGGGAACAGAACAACATTTTCATTAAATCTAGTTAATATTTTTATAGAGATTTGAGAAGATATTATGTCCATTAAACAAGAATTGATATTATTAAAAAGATAAAAAATAAAAATAAAAAATAACAATACCTTTAACTACTGGGTTTGATGGTCCAGGCCTGTAATCCCAGTGACTAGGGAGGCTACGGAAGATCCCAAGTTCCAGGGCAGCCTGGACAAATTTGTGAGATGCTGACTCAAAAACTACAAAGAGCTAGGGATGCAGCTCTGTGGTAGAACCCCACTAAATTCTATCTCCACTACCATAAAACACTTTACTCTTGAACATTAAAAACATAAATTTTTTAAAAAATTAAAGATCTGTAATAGGTTAGAAAGACAATATGGAAGGATTCTTTCAGAAAGTAGAATATAGAAAATATGTAAGACAAGAGATGTAGAGGATAAACTCAGATATCTCAACACCTGAGTTATAGGACCTTATTCTATAGAGAATCCGAAAATATGCAAGAGAGAAATGAAACAATGCAGGACCATTTTCCAAAGCTAAAAATTAACTCTCCAAATCAAGAGGCTTCTTTTAGTGCTTAACAATATCATTTTTTAAAAGAATTATCTTGGGGCTGGGGTTGTGCCTCAGTGGTAGAGCGCTTGCCTAGCATGTGTGAGGCACTGGATTCGATTCTCAGCACCACATATAAATAAATAAAGGCCCATCAATGACTAATAAAATATTTTAAAAAAAAACAAATAAAATAAAATAAAAGAGCTATCTTAGAACTTCTGGCACAAAATTATGCATAAATATTAAGTAGTATTATATTTTGACTATCATTACTGCTCCTGTTGTTTATATAACATCATTCTGAAGGAGGAGACAGCACATAACTTCTCTGCATTATTAATCATTTTCCTTCTTTTTACTCCCTTCTATCACATCGATAGGTACTGCACACCTATTATTGTTTTACTTTGTTACTTTAGGTTACTTTCTATGAATGCAAAAGACATTCATGAAATGGCAATGATATATATATCCATTATATATATATATATATATATATATATATATATATATATATATATATATATATATATTTGTGTGTGTGTGTGTGTGTGTGTGGTTCTGGGGATTTAACTCAGGGTCTTATGCATGCTAGGCATACACTCTACCATTGACTGTATCCCCAGCCCTATTAATCTTAAACATAGTAATTTTTAACAAAAAAAAAATTTTATCTAGTTTGTTTTGTGAGAGTTCACTGTCACTTGACACCCTAAAACCTAAAGAAATCCTTTGGAGTCTCTTCTACTGAAAATAAGTACTTAAAGAGAGAGAGAGAGAGAGAGATTGGGCTGAACACAGTTCTACACACCTGTAATTCCAGCAACTCAGAATGCTAAATCAGGAGGCCTGGCAACTTAGCAGACCCTATCTAAAAATTAAAAATAAAAAGAATGAGGATTCAATCCTGAGTACCACCTCCCACCCCCCACCCCCCGAAAAAGAAGAAGAAGAAATTATGTGAATACTTTTTAAAAATCCTTAACCAATTCACAATTTAAAACTCATCGTGTCTCTCAGATTTTATTTATTTATTTATTTTTGGTAATGGGGATTGAACTCACTTAACCACTGAACCATATCCCAAGCCCTTTTTGTTTTTTGAGACAGAGTCTCTCTAAATTGCTCAGAGTCTCATCAACTGATAAGGCTGGCCTTGAATTTATGATCCTCCTGCCTTAGCCTCCCAAATTGCTGGGATTACAGGTGTGCACCACCATGCCCAACAGAAGATACTATTTATATTCATTCATTCATACATGCAGCAAATATATAAATATATATGTATTTTCTCCCTACTGTCAAAACCACCATGTGCTAGATGCCAGGTCACAAAAATAAATCACACAATTACACCTGACTTTAGGTGGCTTTCATTGGGGAGAAAATAAAAGATACATAAACAAACACAATAATATAAAGTAAAAAAAAAAAAAATGTATGCTGGAGTGTGCACAGTGGCACATGCTTGTAATCCCAGTGACTCAGGAGGCTGAGGCAGGAGAATCAAGAGTTCAAAGCCAGACTCAGCAAAAGCAAGGCATTAAGCAATTCAGTGAGACCTTGTCTCTAAATAAAATACAAAATAGGGCTGGGGTTATGACTCCATGGTAAAGTGCCCCTGGGTTCACTCCCTGGTACTAACTCCTCCACACACCCAAGAAAAGGGGGTCAGAGGTTAAGGGCTGCTGAGTTCAATTCTTAGTACCAAAACAAAACAAAAAAAATACCACTGGTATTCTGGATATTCACAAATTATTTCAGGATGGAGGGCATCAGAGAAATATCTCTGGAGAAGACTAAACATTGACCCAAGCTTGTGGAGATATTGTGGGGAAAGGGCATTCATTAAAGAGATGGTCTACGTGAGTAGAATCAGAAACATGGGATGGATTTGAAAAAGCAACAATTTGTATACATGTAGGGTTTTTTTCTATAAACATGTAATTATTAAAAGCATCAGATAAATCTAGATTATAAAACAAGAATCAAGGAAGCAGATCTGGATTCTTCAAAATACGCTGGTATCATAAAAGACTGAAGAAAAAATGGAGAGGAAGGTGAGGAAGCAGGGAGGAGAAATGCTCTAAATTAAAAGACACTCAATTTTTCAATGCAATGTGCGATCTTTGGGTTCTATTTTTAAAATATTCCAACTAAAGAAATTATTATGAAGTTTGATTATGAACTATATATTAAAAGGCAGCTGGAGCCAGGCACGGTGGCGCACTCCTGTAATCCTAGCGGCTTGGGAGGCTGAGGAAGGAGTCTCAACTCAGTGAGACTCTGTCTCTAAATAAAATACAAAATAGGGCTGGGGATGTGGCTCAGTGATTGAGTGACTCTGAGTTTAATCCCCAGTACCAAAAAAAAACAAAAGGCAGCCGGGTATGGTGGCACATGCTCTAATCCCAGGGACTCGGGAGGCCGAGGTAGGAGGATCTTGAGTTCAAAGCCAGCCTCAGCAAATTAGCCAGGCCCTAAACAATTTAGCAAGACCTTGTCTCAAAATAAAATATTTGGGGATGGGATTGGAGTTGTAGCTCAATAGTTACGCGCTTGCCTAGCACCTGTGAGGCACTGGGTTCAATCCTCAGCACCACATAAAAATAAATCAATAATAATAAATAAAAGTATTGTGTTCATCTACAACTACAAATATATAAAAAGTAAAATAAAAGGGCTGAGTATATGGTTCCATGGGTAAACATCCCTGAGTTCAATTCTTTACACGACCCCGGCCAAAAAAAAGGGAGAGTACTGGGGATATTGCTCAGTGGTTAAGAGCCCCTGGGTTCAACCTCTGGCAACCCCCACCCCCCAAAAAAATGTCTCTGGGGTGGGGGTGTGGGAAAAGGCAATGATAACTTTCATGAGGACAATGTTGGTTATTGTGGTTATGTAGGAAAACATCTTTGATACATATAAAAGGGTGACAGCCGTAAGTTAATTTCAATTGATTCAATAAACACACCACACACCCAGATAGATATCTATATATGGAGGAGGAGTGTGTGTATATATGGCAATAATTAACAACTGGCGGATCTTGGTGAGTACTATTAGATTAATTCAATTTTTTTTTTTAACTTTTAAACTTTTTTCTAGCTTTGAAAATTTGGGGAAAATATGTCAAAAACAATATAATTGAAACAAGGTAACCAATTTAGGCTGTAGTTCATAGAAATAAAGAA